AGCATATAGCAGAGCATTGAGAACTCACGCTTCGCGTCATCGCGCCTTCAATTTTTCAGATGCAGCACGGACGTCCATCAAGTACGAATAGTTGTATCTCTGCGCCGTCGTTAAAGCGGATCCTTTCCCTAGCTCTATTTCCATGTTGTGTTTGTTTCCGTTTGTCTTATTTGTAATGTTGCTTTAAACTACAGCAGAGCATTGCGACTTCACGACTCACGCCATCGCGTCTTACATTTTTCATATGCAATGTGGACATCCATCTTGCGAGAATAGTTGTATCGCGTTTACACTTTAGATGTCTCTTACTTTTGAATTTCGAGATAAATTAAGGTTAAGTTTTCCTGAGATTTGCTATGGTACGTCCACAGAAATAGTAATTTTGAAAAGGAAGAAATGTTTTTAAAAGTCTCTCAAGAGATCTATAAAGTGTGCGTATGTCTAAAAATCGAACCGGCTATCGTTCCTACGGGAGTCACACATAGAGAATGAAGGAGGGGGATGATAAAGCGCGTGTATGCCAACAAAAAGGTGACAATTTCACAGAAAAGTGTTTACGCTTCAGAAAGAAGTTCAGACCTCTGTTCACCACTGTGCGTAAAAACACATCTCTTCACTCCTAACTCTCTCTTCTTCCGTTCATTTAAAACATTTTCCGCATATGTTCTCGGTCGTAATTTTTTTTCTCTTCTTATTTTGCTATCTGTCAGAGGGGCGCGTTTTTGGCGCGCCAAGGGGGTGTATCTGCCAATGGCAGATTGGCCTTATGGCCAGTCCGAGCCTGGCCGTCAGCTCAAAAGAAGTAGATAAATGGTCAGATCTGTACTTCTCATATACTACATATACTGATGCGGAGGTGAAACTGCAAAAACACGTATCCCGATTTGCGATGTTGCAGTGTTCCTGTCCTAATTAAGTTTTCATGTGAACAAACACTAAAGTTTTTGCCTTTGAATATACCTAGACATTTCAAGCAATCGTGCTGGTTCGTTCTCTTTTGATAAAATAAAATGGAGACGGAGACTTTGTTTTGCCGCAAGTGGAATTCGGGTTTTCGCAGTTCCACCATTGGTGTATTGATGGTGCAACTGCAAAAATGCTAATCTCGGTCGCGGCTATCTTATCTTTTAAAAGGAGATCGAATCAACATGATGTCCTGAAGTTTCTACAAAATATTTTTTATGAAGAGAAGAAAAATCATTTAAATTTTAAAAAAAAACGACGCTTAGTAGTTCTCCATGTGGAAAATAAAATATGACAGTAAGTTCTTAGTTCTTCTTTGGGCCTATGAGGCTAAATTAAAGCAAATAAAATGAGCTATGCATGAAGAGGTTCAGCGACGTCTGAAAAGATAAGTGTTGCTCCTTTCAATCCAGACATATATTTGTTTCTAGGACAGTTTATTTTCCACATATACGTTAAGGAGAGCGCGACCACCACTTCCACAGCTCTCGGCCGGTGTCATATTTTTAAGACCTCAATTACCTTACATTTCTGTCGGCTTCAGCGCCTAATTAAGCTAGGTTGAAAAATTGGCCTGTTATAAAAAAGACGCTTGCCACCCACTCAACGTCTCTGGAAGTTCACTGCACGAAATGCCCGCATTCGCCGTTTGTTATTGCTGTGCCCAGGCGCAAAAGACGTACCGCCAACGAAAATTCCGTGCGCATACGTCGTTTTTGTGGCAATTCTCTGAACCTTCGAGGTCGGTCCTGGAGGCTCGCGGTAGGTGAATCTGGGGCTTCCTCTCCGCTCTTTCATCCACGCTTTTACGACTTCAAAAATGGCCATTAAAGTTCGCATGAGTTTACATAACCGATTCTTATCTGGGCTTAAAGACACTCGCTATTTCCTTCTAGACAGGAGATCTGTCGTTCATTCGGCGAGTTAAGGCTCTCAAAAATATTTTAGCTCATTTTGCGCGAAACAGAAACACTCTCTACCCATAGTGCCACATCAAAGAATAACACCATATGAGCCTTCAGACGTTGCCATATTTTCTTAAATAACAGACGAATGTACCCGGAAAATTCTGAATATTTTCCTCTCCAATTGATCAGACTATTTTGTTCGCAATTTAAGCTGTAATATCTGAAAATTCCTATGAGAATTAACCAGATTTTTCTCGAAATCATATATCTTGTCGGGGATATTTGGCAACATTTGAATGATCACACGGCAATCTTACTTTGCACGACGGTCGGTAGTCATAAGTAGAGTGCGTTAAATCTAGATGAACGATATCTTTTAGAATTGACTTCGTTTTGTAATTAGGAACTGCAAATTCCGGCTCGGTTTAGAAACAACGTATGTACCTGTTTGCCTACGCTTCTACGTGTTTTTCCTGATGATCCAGATATTGTAGTTCCTAATTGCAAAATGTGTAGTCCAATATCGAGTTCACTCCTTGAAACGGATCCTCATCAGTGGTGCAATGCATTATGGGTACGATATTAGGTGGATTATTCAGAGTGAGTTAATTACTTTCTAGAATTTCCTCTTATTTCCATATCCGATTAGAGGAAAGTTTGGAAACTTTTACGTCTCATTTTTATCTCCTTTTTGGAGTGTTTACACTTCAGGATCAAACCCTCCAAAGGGAAAAAAAATTAAGAAGGCACTTCAAAGATGGCTAATTATTGTGAGTGCGCCGGATTTGACGACAATTATGTCATATTATCTTATCAGCCGGGTACACCGGCGATTATGGTTTATTTTCATCGATGCAAATGGTTAATTTGATGCATTTTGTGTGCTTTAGAAATCTCTCTCACTCCCTCCTATCCCTCTTCTCGAGAGATTTGTATATGTCGCAGGCAATTAGTCAAATCAGGCATTTAGTCAAATGCCTAGGCAAATAGTCAAATTTTACCGAAAACCCACTTTGGCTATTCGCCTAGGCAGTTGATAAAGTGCCTAGGCATTTGATAAAGAGCCTAGGCATTTGACTAAATACCGTATGGCCTTCAGGCAAATAGTGAAACTCGTTAAAAATCAGGCAAATAGTCAAATTGCTTGGCTTACAGGAACACTTCATAACACCTTGGCCGCCAAACATAGAGCCGGCTGCAACCGCCTCACGGATCGATATGAATTTTTCTCGCGGAATTTGTGAAAAGTCGAAATCAACACAGTCGATTCGTCGAAGGTCAGGTCTGGCGCACCAATTTTTTTATGATTCCACCAATAGTTCCGACTTGGTAAACTCCGTTACGAATATCTGTTACGAAACCTTGTACATTCTGATGATCAAGCGGCCCTCTATCGACTTTTGGGACGGCTAAAATAACTTTGTCTTCTATTTGTAAATCATCAAACAGTTTTTCACTTGATTCTGCCATGCCAGCTGCTGCATCTTTTTGCCTTTCATGAGTTTCAGAACGTGTCTGACGAATTACTATTTCATTCTGGCATAAGTTACAAAGGAAGGTAAGGGATGTTTGCCCGTCTTCGAGGGTAGTTTGCCCACATTGTGCATGGCAGACATTAGGACATGTCGAACACTGTTCAGTTTTACCACCTGTCTGACAGTTACAGCAAGGGACATCATTTATGTCATCTTCCAATCTAGCAGCTTTTTCTACAGGTGCATCCGATGGTTCCGGCTCATTTGAATCCCTAGAGCGTTTTCTTTCTTCATTCCCTTTGTTCTGCAAGTTTTCAAAATCTTCTTCAGTCGTTAATTTAGCAAGAATGGAGGATGGTATATTGGTGCTTCCAAGACCCATTTTCGGTTCCGAAACCAAACAGAGCCGTGTACGGTGATCGGTTCAAAATGCGATGGAAGCACCTCTAGCCCCGGTCCGTTCATTTGACTATGTGCCTGATCACCTCTCGGCATTTTGTCAAATGCTCAGGCATTTAATAAAATGCCTAGGCATTTAATCAAGCGCCTAGGCATTTAGTCAAATGCCTAGGCAAATAGTAAACTTCGTTAGTTTCTTACATTTCTTGACTATTTGCCTAGGCATTTGACTAAATGCCTGATTTGACTAATTGCCTGCGACATATACGAATATAAGCCATTAACCGCAATGGAGATGCGTGGTTCTGTGCTTTAGCCATCGACATGTGCCCAGGGCTCTTCTAAGGAAAGGTGCTGTAAAGGACGACTATCAAAACGGAGGGTGTGTGAATTGGATCGACAAGAATCGATCGAAAAATGAGCACGTGAATTGATCGACACCGTCGATCGCCAAATTATTGATAAACAGCTGTCGATTCCATCGACATGAATCGATCGTAAAGTTAAAATTAGAACCGATCGACACCAATGCGATCGACAACCGTGAATCGATCGACAAAACCCGTGAGTCGCCCGACCGACGAACGAACCCGGCATTGAGTCAATCGACAAACCCGTCGACAGATCCGTGAATCGTTCGATAAGCCGGTGAATCGATCAACAGGCCCATGAATCGATCGACAATCCCGTGAATAGATTGAGAAACTTGTGAATCGTTCGCCAAACCCGTAAGTCGATCGACAAAATTCATGAGTCGACCGACCGATCGACCGACCGACGGACAAACCCCGTGAGTCGATCGACGAACCCGTGAATCGATCGAAAAATCCGTGAATCAATCGACAAATCCGTGAATTGATCGATAAAACTCATGAGTCGACCGACCGACCGACCACCGACAGACGAACCCCGTGAGTCGATCGACGAACCCGTGAATCGGTCGATAAATCCGTGAATCGATCGACAAATCCGTGGATCGATCGACAAATCCGTGAATCGATCGACAAATCCGTGAATCGATCGACAAATCCGTGAATCGATCGACAAATCCGTGAATCGATCGAATCGGTGTCGACCGAATAGCATTATAACTTTTCGATCGATTCATGTCCAAGAAATCGACACCGTTTTTTTAATCATTTCTCGATCGATGCACGTTGATCGATTCTCGTTCTCATTTTTCGATCGACACACGGTGATCGAATCCGTACCCTGCAATGAATACGACCCTTTGAGAGTTCGAGAAAGGACTTACTTTTGTGAGCCGAGGCGAAGTTCAGAGTATCCCCAACATCTGGCAATGCGGAAGATGAATTGAAAATGAAGTTTTTGTGTTGACACCGGAGGCTGCGGCTGCCGATATCGCGGCGGGATCCGAGTCGCCGAGCTGAATGCTAATCCGCCTCGGAGTCACCGGGTGAAAGTACCGTCCACCCACACTGATCGGTGTAAACCTGTCAACAAGATCAAGTTATGAGCGAATTTCAAGAATGAAATTGGTTGAACTGATAAAAACTCGGAGGAGAAATTCGACCGAGTCATTCTGTCATTCACGCGTGCACGACCGCCGCGCGCCGCACAATAATCCATCCCGCGACGAAAATCGAAGAAAGTGAACATCGAAATTGGACGTATTTCTGCCAAATGGAACTATGTGCATTAAGACATGAGCCCTGAGACCCATAAGAATACATGCATTACAGGGCTCACGTCAATATGCACATAGCTCTGTTTGACAGAAATACGTCCAATTAATTAAACGCCTCATTAGAATACTGCTGTGCTATGCCATGGAGTAACACCGTATGAGCCTTCAGGAGTTGCCAAATTTCTCTCAGTAGAAAGGTAATTTTTTGGGAAAGTTTTGAATATTTTTCTTTGACAATTTCACACACATTGGATCAAACTGTGAGTGAAATACACCGAAAAATCGGGTATAAAATATCCAATGGTTTCCTTGAGAATAAAAATTTTACCGCCAGACATTTGGTAACATCTGGAGGCTCATACGGCGTTTTGCCTTGGCACGGCAGAATATAGAGTTTCATCGATTTTATTTGATACACTGATATCTTTTTTATGCCGATATAGACGCTCGAGGAATCTTTTTGGTAACGAAATAATAACACAGTATTTTTCATAATGAACTGCTGAACAACATTCTTAGTTTTTCGAGTAGTTCTATAAGTTTAAAGCGTTTATAAGCATCGAAATTAAGCGATACGATTCCTATGCAGCCGTGCTAAGGAAAAACGCCGTATGAACCTTCAGGCGTTGCCAAATTGTCTTTGATGAAACACGAATTCCCTGGTATAAATTTTTGAATATTTTTCTTCCAATTTTTCAGAGAGATTTGTTCGTATTTTGATCTAAAGTTCCTGAAAATTGTAAGGTAAAATATTCATAATTTTCCTCGAAAATAAAAATTTTATCAAAGGAAATTTTGCAACTCTCGAATGTTCATACGGCGTTTTTCCCTAGCACGGCAGTATGAGAGTCGTGTCACTCAGATCCGATTCTGAGCCACTGTGTTGGAGGAAAAGAAAAGAAGGAGGCATGCGGGTGAGTTTGATGACAGCTACTTGTCTGCGGTTTAACTGATCCGGCAACTTTTGATGTTGCTCCTAATAAAATTTCTTTTTACATTTTTTTTTTATTATTCTTCATTTTTCCCTAACCATATATAGAATTAACCGTCCTCTGTGGTAAAGACCCAAAGGCGATAATAAACAGAGTATAACATTATTTATTGGAGGAAACGACCTGTCAAGAGAGCCATTAAGTAGTGTGAGAAACAGATCAAAACTCCGAATTCGCCGGCGATTAACATCATCATGGTTATATAAAGAGAGGTTTAATGACACCATGAAATGAAAGTTCAAAATTACGTGATTAGTCCCTATTCCGAAATAGAATTTGCGTTCAAAATTAAGAAGGGTTCATTTTCTCAAATACGAGAAAGTAAATGTGTCCGAATTTTCAAGATCAACGCAATTTTTAGTAAGTTCAAACGCTAATTCGGACTGGCACATGAGTGAGCGCAGTTTTTACTATTTCAAAAAATACGCTTTTACAGTTTCAAAATTACACAGAGCCTTATGGCAGAAAAATAGTTCAAATTCCCTTTTTGATGCTTAGAATTTTGATTTTAGCCCCGAATTTTTCTCAGGATATATTTTAGCGCTAGTCTCAGTTGTAATCATTACTCGCTAATTTTTTTTTAAAAACTAAACGTTTAAGCGCCGTGTTCCCTATGCTATGTCTCTCAATAATTGATGAGGATAATCCCAGAGGATGCAAAGATAGCGGTCTAGTATTTCAATTGGACGTATTTAAATCAAAAGAAGCTGCATCCATTGTGACTTGAGCCCTGTATTGCATGCATTATTATGGATTTCAGGGCTCATATCAGAATGTATATAGTTCCTTTGGATTTAAATCCGTCCAATTGAAAACTGTAAAATTGCTGACAACCGCAAATTACAACATTGCAGCTCAACGCGAAAGCATAGAATCTTGTGGTGGCAGTAGAAAGCCTTTTTCTAAGTAAAAGAAAACAGAAATTATTCTCAAGAAAACGAGGAACTATCTTCAACGAGCAGAAGACACACCGGCGTTGACGTCAGTGGACCCATCGGTATAATTTGATACATGGGAACTATGCTTGAATGAGTTGAGGAACAAAGCCCGAAAAGTATCGTATCACCATTCACAGCCAATATTGCACTTGCCGTAAGGTCTCTCAGAGGCGTCACTACGCGTTTGAAACATCTCGTTACGGTAGGAATGACATCAGTGACTTGCAAGCCCTAGAAATGACGTCAGCTTGTGAATAGTCAGAGTTTGACCTGACGTCAAAGTTGGGTCCGGTCGTAGAGGGATCAACCAACAGCGTTGTCAGGTGAATTCTCAAGATCAGATACCACACACTGGAAAAAAAAACACATTGGATCTAGAGTCCAGACTCTTAAAAACATCTACAAGTAAAAGTACTCTTGATTCAATCAGAATCTAGCTTAAATCAAGAACCAAGCCTCTTAATTTAAGCGGATTTCGTTTTGATTCAAGCAAAAATCCAATTGAATCAAGAGTATTTTTCTTGTCAATGTTTTCAAGAGTCTGGACTCTAGATCCAATGTGTTTTTTTCCCCCAGTGCACTTACAAATGGGGAACACGAATAATGTTTCTCGAGGAATTATTTAGATTTCTCAACAAACCGTGCGATATTTAAAATTGGCCGTATTTCAATAAAAAGGAACTATATCTATGGTGTTATGATCCCTGTTATACATGTATTCTTATGGATCTTAGGGCTCATATCAGAATAAATGAGATACTTTTGATTTAAATACGCCAAATTGAAGATTAGGAGGTATCCGTGCGGTGACATCGCTCAAAGTTCGTGAATATTGCACGATGGAAAAAGCTTCGTGCATGCAACTTTAAGTTCAGGTCATATGTATAGATCTCTGAAGTTTTTAGATCGCGCATTCGAGAACTTCAAATATTCATATGAATCGAACTTCAGGTCCCACGCACGAAATCTCTTTCTCCGTGGGTCATTTGAGATAATTAAATGAGCAATGTTCGAAACTATTCGGTGTTCTTCGGGCCAAATGTTGCAAAATCAACTTTTTCACTCTGTGGTATAGAAGAATCCGTGGTGGAAGTTATCTTAACAACCTTTTCTCCCTGTCATCAGCACAGGGCCATTTTGCCTGACTTAATTACATGAGTAGTACACTTAAAAAAAATTCTCGGCGTTTTTACCAAGGTCCGTTGGTACCTTTACCATCTCACTTTTTTTACCAATTATTGGTAATTTTACCAAGACAGACTGGTAAGCTTACCTTAAAACTGGTATTTTTACTGTTTTTTTTTCAGGTAAGAATACCACTTTTATTGGTAATCAATTCCCGGTAACTTGGCCATTTTATCTCGGTAATTCTACCACAGTCGATAAAAAATATTGACGTTTTTACCAAGGTCCAGTAAAATTACCGAGAAATTTCAAAAATTTTATGAATGGTAATTTCACCAAGAAAAAACTGGGATCAAATAGAATCCTGAATTCTTGGTAATTTTACCATTTTCTTAGTATATACATCGAATTTTTTTTCAGTGTATGTAGACGCGAGTAGATTTGGCAACAGAAAAACGACTCGAGCGGTCAAGCCCAGACGCCAATCCCAGTTATGAACTTGACTAGGTATTGTTTCTGCGGGCATGACATGAGAGTTCTTAAAATAAAATGATGAGAGGGAATCTAGGAAGGCGACTTTATTGACAAGTTGCGGGTAAATAAGTATATAAGCGGGCGGGTGCGGGCGAGGTGAATGTGTAATTACCCACGCATCGGTCGCGGTCGGTCGGGACCCGAAGTGCAGTCTGTAGGAGTCTGAATCATCGTCGAGAACAGGAAATGCACGCAAGACGCGAGGGTCCCGGCGTAAAAGCATCACCGAACTGCCGTGATAGCGAAGAGAGCCGTAAGTGCATGCTGGGATGAACCTCGAGACACATAAAAGCATGTGCTAACCATGGCTCATACAGAAGTGCAATTACTGCTCTCTTCGCTATCACGGCAGCGATGCGGATTATGGTCCTCCGAGGTGAGCTTGATGAGTGATGGGCTGTTTTGAGCGTTGGATGACGTGATACAGGTGAATCAACTCGAAAAAACCGGGTTCGACTATTAGTCTACTTGCAGGGAAAATATTTATAAACAGTTCTCAGGATCTCGGACAATGTTACTTGCAGTTTTTTTCTCTTCGTTTTTTTCGATGTACCTGTTGACCCCTTTGTTCGTCAGTCACGAGTGGTGACTTTCCTGTGCGTAAAACGCTGCAGAGAGAGCAATGTTTCCACAGAGAAATTTTTGTGGGGTAATTTTCTTTTATTGAGAGATTTTTATCAATTGTTGAAGATATGAAAAGAAAAATAGAGACAGCATCGGGCATCAATTTCTAGAGATAAACATATCTGATCTTTTTTTATAAATTTGTAAGTTACTTGTTAGGTAAGAGTGTAGCCAAAGTGCTGAATAATGTGCAAGTATTAACTTACAGATAACTGCTTTATTGATAATAATGTTTGGTCAAAGATTTTCGGCACAATTACCATCGCCAGGACCTTTGTAGTGAGAGAACTAAATCAGGGCCGGATTAAGGGGGTGGCCACATGGGCCGCGACCCATGGCGGCAAATCTAGGAAGCGGCAAAATTTATAATTTTTTTAAATGTAGGTAATAAAAAAAAATCGGATTTAGAAAAAAAATTACAAACGAGAAAAGGCGTCAAAATCTCTCCTTTCCTGAGAGTTTAGTAATTTCTAACTTTTCCGTCTTTCAGTCATACAAAGAGACAGCACCTTTAATTAGTCGAGTTAAGAGAGAAACCAAAAATGCAATTTGGCCTGGAACGGCGCAACTTAGAGAGAAATGATGACGAGGAC